ATAGTCATTTTTACCCATTTCTGGGTAGAAAACATAACCCCACCCTGCTGGGTTAAAACAACCCATGGCTGGGTCAGTGCCGTTTTTTAACCGGCACCCACACATCAGTCAAACTGTCTATAAATGGAGATGATTTAGCTGCGTGTCCTGCAGGTGGGCGTGCAGCTGAGACGACTCCAAAAGCAAACAACTCGGAGTGATCAGTAACGAAGAAGCTCAGGGTAACAGATGGAGACGTACAGGAAGCTGGTGAACGTCTCTGTTCATGAGTCAAACAAACACAAATCATGGTGCATGGAGCTTAGAGTCTCCAAAAAGTTTGACAGAGAGCAGCTTGACTCTCCACAACACTACTGGGAAAATGTTCTGTGGACTGATGAAACTACGAATTGTTTGGAAGCATCATGATTTGACAGTGGGGTGCGGTCCAGTCCGAGCCCGGACCTCAACCCAGTGCAGCTGCTGTGCAATAACCTCAGAGAGCCGCTCACACCCGACACCCTGAGAATATGAACAAGCTTCCTCCTGAACACTGAGCAGCTCCGATCAGCAGCTACTGGACGAGCCGGTTTGAGGTTATTGCTGCCAAAGGAGGTTCGAGCAGTTATTAAACCCAAGGGTTCACTTACTGTTTCCACCTGCGCTGTGAATGTTTAATGGCTTTGTTCAATAAAAGTTCACAAAAGATTGTAATTGTTGGTGTGATATTAGCTTAGGGACACTGTGTTCGACTACATTTGTGACTTGGATGAACATCAGATCCTGTTTCGTGACCAATTAATGAAGAAAAACCGGCTCATTCAATTGTCCTTACTTGACCAGGCACGTTTTTGTAAACAGCTACACTCCACCAGCAATGTTTGTCATGTAGAATCAAAGAAGTAATTTCTCTCTCCGTTTCCCCATCTCTCTGACTGTCACTACCGCTTACTGTCCCCCACCACCAGCACCAGCACCAGCACCACCCTCCACTGCCCCACACCATCGCAGAGAAACTCAGCCTCACCTCTCCTTCTCTGTAGTCGCGCTGCACAACAAGTGTCTCTTTCTTCCTGCCACTTACAAAGAGCCACATTCATGAAGCAGAGCGAGAGTGAGAGCGAGACAGAGAGAGAGAGAGAGAGAGAGAGGGAGGGTGAAGCACTGTTTCCTCAGTGATCAACGATCAACAAACCCAGAGAGAATGTGCGCCACATGAGTCAAAGCCACGGGGAGTCAATGCCAAATGTTAGAATGTGTGTAGTGTACGTCTGTCTTGTGTGCGTCCTGGACTGCGAGCCGTCACACACAAACTACAAACCAGAGTGACACTCAGTGGTTTGCGACTAAACAGCCAGCCCAAGGAGACTGTGGGATGGGGTGTGTGTGTGTTGTAAGGGGGGGGGGGGGCAGGTGTTCCCGTCATCCTGACTTCTTGGGGCTCTGGTTCTCCTCTGCCAGCCACTAATAGCACATGCTTAAAAACAATTAGCAAAGACCCCGCAGGCTCCCGAGTTAGCAGCAGCAGCAGAAAAAGGATTGAGCTTGCAGAGTCCTCGGCTGCGATTAGGGAACGTGCGTCGACTGGTAAATGGCGCTGACGCCTCCCATCAGCCCGGCTGTGACCCTGGATGACTCCTGGCAGCTACAGAGCTCCAGTGAGGTGGCGGCGGAGGAGATAAACGCCGAGGTGAACCGACGAGCAAACAAACAAACAAACAAACAAAAAAGAAATCACAGAGCGAAACTGATCCTGAATGAGTCTTTAAAGTTTCAGAGGAATGTGATTTAGACACTTTTCCTTCAGCTGCCCTCCTCCTGCCCTCGGTGAGGCCCTTCACAAGGCTCTTTTGTGGGTGTAGCAGTGATAGCAGCCTGCATACCACGGCTTTACTGTACATTCTTGCAGAGATAGCAGAGCAGTGCATAAGAGCTACAAGAGAGACGAGGCAGAGGATAAGGAAAAGGAGTGCAACGTGATTCACGAGGAGACAGAATTACTAGAATTACTTCCCTCCCCTCCCTGATACTAAGCAGAGTATCTATCTGACTGCATGTTTCCTCGCTGATAAAAAAAAACGAAATCCATGACAACCTTGGTGTCTGCAAAGAGCCCACACTGGCTGATGGCAGCAGGCCTGGACAAACATAAGAGACAACTGTCACATGAGATTCTCTGCTCTGGACAGAGACCACAGCGCTGCCCTCTTGTTCTCTTTCTCTCTTTTGCTGCAAGGAGTATTTATTCATATGCAGCGTATTCTATTATAACACCGTATTCTTCTAAAGTGATCCCTAATTACACATGTCACAGTTTTTTTTAACAGTCCCATAAAATGGGCACAAAGATTAACGAGGGAACGGGAGCGAATCATAGACATCAGGGCTAATGCTGCGAGTTTAACCTTCCAGCAACTGAAGAGCTGCAGCTTATAGGCATCAAACTGATTAAGACGCACTTGTTACCGGTCAAACTCCCACAACCGTTTCATACTTTACGACTTAGTCAACACAGCTGGAGTCATCTCATCTTAACGGCTTCTATTTGCAACTTCAATCTTTTGTTTGTGAGCGTAAAGCTTGTGACCATGAAAAAAGGGTTGGAGCAAAGAGCGGACATCAATTAAGTAAATGAATAGTTTCCTGCAGCCAGTGCACGTAACGTGAGTCTACAGCCGTGCCAGTGGCTCTATGAGGTTGTGTTTTTTGGTACAGTGTTGCTTTGAGCTAAATGCTAAAATCAGCATGCTAACACGCTCACAATGAAAATGCTAACATACTGACGTTTAAAAGGGCAGCGCTACATCTTCAGGGCAGATTGGAGGCTAGCAGTGAGCCGCTATCGGAAAGTGATGAGACGGGCCGGGGGCTAGCCGCTCAGCGTGCTAACTTAAGTAGCTCTTTTAAGTGATTTAGTTTAGTATGTCAGAATGCTAAAATTTGCTAATCAGCATGAAACACAAAGTAGAGCTGTCCTGAGGGGACGACGGATCACCGGGAGTCAACATGATGGGAACCATGACCGTCACTAACATCGTGCTGTTAGCCTGGCCAACAGTCACAAACTGGACTCCAATAAAGTTTTGGATTTTGACAACTGCATTTTTTAAAACAGCGAACCTGTTTGAAAAGGCCTGAACTTCGCAAAACAGCTGTCGCCACGAAGGTGCTAAAACAATACGTACAATTGTATCTTAAACTGGAGTTACTGAACTTTAGCTTCACTGGCTCCGACCAATGTTCGGCCTAACCCTAACCCATCCAATCAGAGACAGGATTCTTGTCAGTTAATTGTCCTCCACACCTCACCAGCTCCTTGGGTGTTAACAGGGTGTGGCGACATTCTCCCTGGGGTGTTGCAGAGTCGTCATGACAGACCTTATCAGCAGCTCTCATGCCTTAATCTCCTGTCATGTCCTCTGTCGATCCATGTGCACTGAAAGACACAGTCCAGACCTGCCCCCCACCCCCCACCCCCACCCACGCCTCCTGCCTTCCTCTTAATTAAAGCACAACTCAGCGCACAGGGAGATGGGAGCTTAGTTCATGTGATATCAGAGTATTGTGTATGAACAATAGCAACATAGGAAACTTAGGGGAGTTGTCAAATAAGATTTCCATTGATACAAGCAGATTCATTTGTCTCACTGCCTCATTCAATCTCTCATTTTCCACTGGACGGATCAAGTGTCGCCTGTGGTAGAAGAGAGGAGCAAACACTACACTGAGTGGGAGAAAAAGAAGCTGAGCTCACATCCACAGATTGGCCAAATTTTTCAATGTGACCTTGGCTTTTGCAATGATATGCTGCGCTGACAGTGCACTTCCCGAAAACGTTGCTTTATCTGCAAGAGAAGGTTGCATGTCGGTCAGGCCAATTTTCATAGAAAATGTATAGCCTTGGGAGTGTAGGACCCCCCCCCCCCGATCTCCATGTCTCCCGATCCCACAGTGATGAAACAACAGAATAAATCATTGCAGTTAGCGCCCCGGGAAACAACAGGCACCGAGTTTGAGTAGATTTATTTGCAATGACTCACCAACAGCAAGTGGAGCACTTGTAATAAATTACGCCACTGGTTATCACCCTGATAAAACTACAAAAGAAGAGGGATATCTCTTTTTAAAAAAAAAACGAAAACATGTCTTAATATTACATGAAAGTTCTGCTTTAATGTCTCAGTTCAAAGTTCCCTTCAAGGAGCATGAGGATGCACCGTGCCTGCGGGGCCCACCTCGAGGAGGAGCCGCGCCGAGAGAAAATCAAACGCCAAATCGCCACACTCGTGTTCTCCACAGACGACGCATTAGACACGGAGCGAGGCTGCACACCCTCAGACTGCCACGCTGGTTTTGCCGGCATGGAAACCGCAGTGCTGAACAAATTTGGAGACCCCCGGCGGTAACCTCCCAGGAGCTGAGATTATGCTGTCTGGCATTATCGAAACACCTGTGAACAACCTTATCAGTGAGGTTAGACCTGCTAGTTTGATAACAACTCACACACAGGAGATAAGAACCACTGGAAGAAAAACATCTGCTGGTGCGCACTCTGCATATTGTATGTGAGATCTATCGTTGACCACATTGCTGCACGTAATGTGCGTTATCTTTGGTTCGTGCAAGAACATTTGGTCTGGTGAATGGAAAGAAAGAAAAGAAAATAGAAAGAGCAAACGAAGAAAGTTTAGAGAACAGAATCTCTGCAGGAAAAGTTTTCACCTGACAATAAACGCACAGGGACCCGGTTTAAAAATAATACAATTTCACCTTAAGTAATACACGACTTGATGATCCCTTAGATGCCATGTAATCACATGAACTAATAATGCCTTTACAATATATTAAGCCACAGGGGTTCATGATATATTATGCATTAATTCATGTCTTTGATCACAATGAGTCATGATGTATTAGATATGCATCAGTTTAGTGTGCAGAGAGAACCTTTATTGTAAAATGCTGCATTAAAGCAGACACATCGCCTGATCAGTGACACGGGGTCGCCCCTCGCCTCTTACCTTTGCAGGAGCTTTGGTCTTGTTGTTGTTATTGTGGGAGGCCAGATTGACATCCTCGTGGACGCGGTCCAGCAGCCACAGGAGGAACTCCAGGGCGTCATGCTGGGAATTACCCCGAAACTGCGATCCATACTTGGACACAATCGTCTGGAGAGAGAGAGAGAGAGAGAGGAGAGAAACAGACTCAATGAAACTGTAATTTTTCCGTAGCTACAGAATCATGACAGTGTGGTTGATTAAGAGCCTTTTATGAGCCAGGAAAACGGTTCAGTGCTGTAACGGTGCTGGTGTGAAGTTATGACTTCACAGAGAAAAAAAAAAAACCTTCCCGAAAATCCATGAATATAAATGATCCCGTCCACATAATCCCACATTTTTACTTCAGTGAAAAACAAAAACAGTGGTGGTTGGTTTAACTGGCTTTTATTATCTGACAGCTTGTCAGAATTAAAGCCTCAGTCGATACCTGGAAAAGCCAAATAAAACTGCCTCGCCTAAGATATCCTTCTTACAGAATTCTCTCACACATAATGTGAATCTCGAGCGCTACTTGCTTACTGGTTTTGACAGCCCGGATGTGTTCTTTGGTGCAACCGAGGCCCCTGAATGGGCAGCTCTGCTCCGGGGTTCTCCACAGAACGCTGATCAGAGGAATCCTAGAATTGCAAATTTGCCACTAACGTTGTTCACGCTTCCTTCATCTGCACCCAGCCCGGGCTTTCAACTGATGCAGTCATTTCAGATTGTGGTTTACCAAAAATCTGCCTTTGTCTAATATGTTGCCTGTTAATAAAAGTTTTACTGTCTTTGACTGTCTGTATTTCCTTCCTTCTTTTCTTCTTAAGACAGTACATTTCAATATTTTTGACATATAAAAAAAGATGTGTGAATACCATTCTTATTAAAAAAGTAGGTTGAAGACTACTTTAGCTCACACACAGTATAATGTGACTTTAGATGTGAATGGCACCCAACTCAATTAGGCAGGAATTAACTCCATGAACCACAGCTGGCAGCCTGCAGAAGCACAGGCAGTGATGAGAGATTATAGCAGAGGGAACAGATGACTGTAATCATTGCTTCATAATCCACTAATATGTGAAATGGCTCTTATGACTATTACACCATAACATGTGGCAGGGTGTCTGACGAGGAAGCTAGAGGCCTGTCGCTGAAGAGCTGCTGGCCGTTTGAATAAAAGATAGAGAAGAAACATAAACTCAAATCAACTTCCCCTTCAAACGTTTGGGAAAAAAATAAATAAATAAATAAATAAAAGAAAAAAGAAAAGTGGAGCCAGGACGACATCCTCAAAGTACAGAGACGGAGTTACAGACAGGAGTGAAAAGTGAACATAAAAATTCATAAACAGAGAAAAAACTGCTGGTGGAGTCTTGGCAGAGCGATAAGGTTCTCTAATCTTCTCCTCTGATCTCGTCTTGAAAGTGAAAGCAAAGCGTCCTCTGCCTCGCAGATCTCAAAGAAGTCGAAAAGTGCCGGGTGTTGTCATCCCGACACTGGATCCCGACGATGATCGTGAGATAAGTTTGTCACAAAATATGAACGAACAAATACAGAGCTGAGGTTTTTTTTTTTTTTTATTGGTACAATTGGACAGTTGTATGTCAGTGTATTATATTGTGTTGTTGTTGTTGTTGTTGTTGTTTGAGGTATTTAGTCACACAATGGATAATACAACAAGCTTTTAAAATACAACCAGTGGTTCACAACCTTTGCGGCTTCTGACGTCGCATGTCGTGTCACATTTCGTGATGATCAAATGATCCAGTATCTCACCAAAAACCAAAGATTAGAGGAAAAAGTCTAAAAACTGAAAACAGAACTTTGATTTTACTAGTTTCCTCTAAGATTAATCAGATTTATCTGGTGTTTCTGTAACTGGTGAAACTGTATATAAAGCAGTTCAAAGTAACATGTACAGTGCAGTTACATGCTGAAGAGACGCTGATGCTTCAGTATTAATCATCTAATGATGTCATATATAATAATATATGAGTAAGAGGGACAGAACCAGCACTTAAACTTTAATACTACATTTTGCTACCAATACTTAAATGGGATTTTCATGCAGGACTTCTACTTGTAATGGAGTATTATTTACTTTAAATTAGGGATCTGAATACTTCTTCCACCACTGGATTCTGGGAAGTCTTATGTTTGCACTGAAGGTATTTACAGCCTTCAACATTTGTTCTCTGCACGTTGGTTTATTTCCAACACACACATGCACGGTCTATATAATGTACAGCTCTGTAATATGTCCTCTACACTGTGAAATTGAAGAACATATATGAGATTATAACTAATGTTTCTAAATCAGTCTGAGTGGAGAAGATTGAATGCAGTACGTGCAGCATATCTTTCTTTAAATTGATGCTTTTGAAACATTCAGGCTTTGTGAAGAAACGCTATACAATATAAACCATGAGAACCGTGGACACGCACTAACCTAAAGTTGTTGTGCAGCTAGTCATTACAGCAGAGCAATAACAGTAATTACCATCAGCCTTTTGAAGGTGGCAATTGTCTCAGTGATATAATTGAGGCTGTGGAAAGTGCTCTGTGTTTTTTTTTTATTGCTCACTGTGACATTATGGCCACTGGCCAGTTTATAACCATAAAAGATAAAGAGAAAATAAGAAAACTCTCCATCTATCCTCCACATCATTTAGCCAATGCTGAATATTTCAACTATTTACCTTTAGCTATTTCAACTCCTTTACTATTTAAACATTTAAACAGTTTAACCATTTATTCATTACTGTTTAGCTAGCTAACCATTTGATTTGTTTATCCATTACTTTCAGAAAACTAACCTATTTGATCCGTTTAATTTAGCTATTTCAACCATTTACATTACTTTTACTTTGAGATCTAAAAGATTCCCTCTGATTAAATCAAGTTTTTTAATCTTGTTAACATCCGTGTGATGTTTTTTTTAATATAATAAGATATATCATGAGCGAAATAATCGGTCAAAGCCATGACTCAGCATTTCCACCTTGAAACTGCAGTGAACCAATGACAGCCAGGGTTTCATACGCCACAAACCTAAGGAACCAATCGCATCAACTTGTGGGGGGCGGAGGGCGGGGCTAAATAAATCGGAAACCTTGTCAGTACAGAGAAGGAGAGTTAGCATTAGCGCAACCGCTAACAGCCACTGCCAGCTACAAGCTAACAAACAACATAAACAAATAACTAGCTTACGGCTCTGACACGTCTCCTCGTGCACAACAAAAACAGATGATACTTTTTATGTGGGAAAACCATGTTAAACAAAATATCAATCATAGCAGAGTATTTCTGATGTTTTTTTTGTTCATCACAGACCTTTTTAACTGTTCAATTTAGCTCCTTTACTTTGATGTTTAGCTAACGTTAACGAGTTCAGCCATTTAGCCGATACTTTTAGCTGACTGTTTCAGTTACTTTTAACTGTTTTAACCGTTTTAACCGTTTATCGGTGACCATTAGGACTATTTATCCATCGCTGTTAACTATTAGCTACTTATTTGCTTACTAGTTTTCATGCAGTGTAAATTGCAATCTGACTTACTGCAACCAGCGACAGAGATAACAATTACAAATGAACGTGGAGACAGCAAATACTGTCACATACCATCAGTGGTGACTGTAGGGAGGAGGACACTCCTGTTCCTGTTCAGTCACTAATAACTCCCTTCTTTTCTCAGGCCTCCCTTGTTATGGAAAACCGATAAATCTGCTGTTGAGTAACTGTTTGAGTTTCAGGGGTTGTCCCTGTCCAGGCCCCTCTGTGCAAACACACCATCCTTCCGGGGGGGGGGGGGCAACGAGAACCGTCCAGATCAAAAAAAAAAAAAATCACACATCTGCTTCCAGGTTGAAGAAACTCAACGCGTCAGAGACACATCTGTGAGAGTGGAAGCTCGGGGACACACCCGAAAATGTGAAATATCACAAGGCAACAGGAAGATTTATTAAAAAACTCCCTCCCTCCCTCCTCTCGCGTCTCACGAGCCAGGTGGTACCGGAATGTGAGCGCCAGGTGTTCGGCAGGACTTTTGTTGTTTTGTTTTGGTTTGTTTTTTTTTTTTCTTCCTCACTGGGACTCTGCAGCCAGCTGACCTGTGAAGAGGCCACCGCTGATTCATTAAACTCTGACGAACCTTTTGGATCAAACGAGCACGGCTCCACATGTACAGGGTCAGGTGAACCGGAGCAACATTAATTCGCCTAAAACAAACAAAAAAAAGTGTACGCAGTGTACGTCCTGTTAAAATGGTAATTGTCAAAAAAAAAAAAAACACACACACACAAAAAAGAGTTCCCTTTCATCATTTCTTATTAAAATTCATGTGGTGTGAAGATGGGTACAAAAGGTATTGCGCTTTTAAGTCTTTTTAATCTGGCTGCTTTAGCTGTAGCTTTGCAATGCCCTCATGGCTAAACACCTGACTTTCAGAGAGGCCTGCACAGACTGATAATCAACTTACAAAAACAACACATTAATTGAACCACTTATAAAAACGACCAGTCCTTATTTTATGAATGGTTTGTTGCTGTCTGGAGTTCCTGCAAGCTGGAAGCTCATTTAGCCCGTCAGACACGAGCCTCAGAGATATCTGGTTATATTACAAAGCCTCCCTCCAGGCAGCTGTGGTATTACTCAACAAGCAGTTTCAGAAGGCCTGGGGCCGCGTGAACTCTGGACTTCTCATGGGCACAAACCATTATCCCAGAGTGAGAGTGTGAGCGTTCAGTGTCTTTCTTTTAATCTTGGCTAGATGTTTCCGCCGTGATTGTTGTCCGGAAAATATCCGATATCAGACTCCTTGTGAGGTAGGAGGGTGTGGAATGTGTTAGATTTATTGGCAGCAAGAATCACGGCCGACAGAATTTATCGCGACAGGGGAGTTGAGCAGAGCGCACAACAGATCGGAGGGCAAAAGAGGAAAAGAGAATAAATGTTTTAAAATTGATCAAATTGATTTTCTGACTGTCAACGCTGTGTTTCACCGGCTGCAAATTACTAACACTTAGTTGGCTTCCTCATTACAATACATTCGAGTGTGAGAAGAGACAGTCAAGCACCTATACAGCAGGGGTCAAGAGTGGCCATACTTGCACCCGTTTCTTACAGAGTAATTAGCATTTCCAAGAATAGATCCATTGTGGAGTTTCTTTGTTCGCTGCTCCATATTATCTACTTCTTGCCTTGAACTATGGCTCAGAGAAATCCAGAGCACAGAGCTGCAGGCAGATAAAGTGTGGTTGCTTCCCCCCCCCCCCCCCCCCCCCCCCCCCCCCCCCCCCCCCCCCCCCCCCCCCCCCCCCCCCCCCCCCCCCCCCAATCCCTATCTCCAGCGTGGGCAGAGAAGGAAAGCCTGAGGGTCTCCTGATAGGGCTGTGTCACAGCCACCACCCCCCCCACCCCGATCCTCAGGGGAAGGAAGATTTCTTCTTCAGTGGAAAGTAAATCATCTCCTTCCCGTGCCAGTACACTTTGAACCGCAGCAGCAGTGAGTCTAAATCAACGCTGTAGTGCGCAGTTTTCGCAGTCACCTGCACCCTGCCTCGCTCTCCAGGCGGTGAGAGGAGATAGAGCACTAGTTTATGGCGCTGCCATTAGGGAAAGGATTAACTTAAAAATCATCACACATCTGCCGCAGATAGAGCAAAGCCTTTGCTTTTACATATAGTGTCACGACCCTGTGACCTCAGACGCCTCATTATCACACGGAGTCACAGGGCACGGTAATGCACGCTTTTTCCCGCCTGTGAGGAAAAGAGTGGTTGTTAAAACTGTTGAGAGTTATAGTGAATGACGTCAGATTTTGCCCCCCCCCCTCCCCCTTTTTCTTCTGTCTGATCATTACATTCAGGCCACTCTGCACTTCATACTGTTTATGGCTTCCTGTCTGCAGAACGTGTGATTATGTTTGACTGCAGCTGCTTATTTCTGCACGTGAGGAACAAATAATGTCAGAGTGGGTGTTTTAGTTAATGATAACTACTGCAACTGTGATGCTGCCTCCTACCCCCCTTTTTTGTTTAACATTGCCCATGTGTGCCATTATCATTACAGAGCTCATGTGCAGCTGTAGACCTGTGTCTTTGTGACTGACTCTGGGTGTACCTTGAAGTCCACAGACAGCTGTGGCGTGTACTCCAGAGTCCACAGAGCCCTCACGAGAGATGCCAACTGCTCCGTGACTTCTCCCCTGGCCAGCCGCGTCTCCTCGCCCTCCATCACCCCGTTTAGCCCGAGGTGAGTCAGGTCCAGCTTGTACCGCTCCAGCCCCAGGTACTCGGCGAGCAGGTCGGTGTTGCTCAGACACTGGACCACGGCGTTCATGAAACAGGTGTTCCCGTGGTTCTTCAGCCCCAGAACACCCGGGATTTTGTCGCCGTACTGGTACAGCAGCTTCTCTCTGCCGATGCACAGAGAGGAAGACGTGCTCGAGGTGTTTTTCACCACTCGCTCCCAAGTCACCTGTACATCCTCTTTGATAATTCCTGAGCTCGCGCTGAGGGTGCAAGGTGCGCCATTCCGGAAACCTCCATCGTCGTCCTCGGCGTCCTGCGCGTCTGCGTCTCCAAAGTGGGTGAAAGTGCCCAAAGTTCTGATGATTCTGTTCATGAAACTCCCCACAGACTTCAGCGGTTTCTTTCGGAAGAGCTTCCCAGATTTCGGCTTCTTTTCCTTGCGCTTCTCCTCCTTCGATGTCGGCATTTCCTCCCTGGCTCTGCTCTGTTTCTCCATGGCAGTGTTACTCTACTCGCTCGCCGGTCTATTCTGAGGCTGATAACCGCGTGAATTCCGGCGCCGGTGTGTCACTTCTCCGCCAGTGTCCCCTGTCCGGATCGCAGAGGGAAAAGCGCGCAGAGGTGACACCATCGCGGAGCCAGCAGGCACAACAGCTCACTGTTATTCCGCCCCGCGCTGACAGCAAACCTCCCTCATCCATCCCAGCACTTACTGAAGGCGTTCATTATCACTCCGACACCGCTGTCACAAGCGGCATCTCGTCATTCCCGGCACAACGTGAGCAGCCCCGCCGTCCAGCTGCAGCACTGAGCGCTCCCCTCCCACCGCTCCCAACTTCGCCCGGAGAAGGCTTGTGATTGTGCGACTGCCCCCTCCCACTTTCCAGCACATGTGGGGGGGGGGGGGGGGGGGGGGGGGGGGGGGGGGGGTAATAAGAGAGAGCACTGTACACTGGATTCATGCTGTTGGCTTTGAAAAGCAGTGGTGGAAAAAAAAAAGAAAAAGTACCACTATGGTGTGAAAGTACTCCATTACAAATGACCTAATTACTGTCATAGTAAAAGTACTGAAGTATTATCAGCTGAAAGTAAAAATAATCATTCTGTAGAAAACTGGCCCTTATGAATGTTGTAGATGTTATGAAAGTTGTTGGGGTGGAGCTTCTTTTAACTACTTTATATACACTTAACCTTAATTATTATACATTTGGATTAATTTAATTATAAGCTTAACATATTAATTTGTGTTGTATATTAAGTGGTGCAATATTATGTGCGTTTATATTAATTAATATTACTGCAAGTTTATTCTATTATTTCATTATCAGTTGCAGTACTTTATTATTTCATATATAATTTGTATTCAAGTTGGTTGTTTGTAACTCCTGTAGTGTGGAGCACTTTTGGTTCCCACCTGCCACTGTTTGCAGGGGCACAGGTGTGAATGTGACAGTATGAGATGCACATGGTGGTTCAGTCTAGTGGTGCCCAACCTGGGGGTCAAGCCCTCCATATGGTCACAAGATAAACCTGAGGGGTCACGACATAACTAATCAGGATTTTTTAAATACTTTTCTCTAATCTGTTTTTGAATTAAATATTTGGCATTTATTTGAGGTGCAAACAGTTATTGAAATGAAACCATGAGGGAAATCTCTCTCAGCTCAGACGTCGGGTCCCAGCTGACACTGCTCTTCCGTAAATGTTCACAAACCACAAAAGGTTCAGAACCACTGGTTTAATTCAAAAAATAATACAAAAAAAAATCCATTATATTTGATAAACTTATCACATGCTTTTATTTAAAATCATAATCTGAAAAGTAACCAGTAACAGCATCTGGAGCAAAAGGTACCTCAGAACTGTAGAGTACAGAGTAAATGAGCTTAACTACATTCCACCACAGCTTCCCACAGATCACTGCGGTAAAAGAAAGATATATTATCAATTATTACTTTTACACTATATAATTTCTCCTATGATTAAAATCATTGAGTCATTTTAAGGTCCTGATAAAAAAGTGCTGCGCTTACATCAATGCTTCTCTGACGGAGAATCCCCCCCTCACCACAGGGAAACCTCTGTCTGTTATACTGTCAGTGATCTGCTTTAGTGACAGGGACATCAGCTACCTGTGATCGACCGTTTTAAAAAATCAGTGAGCTGCTTGTTGATTCCTGTTGTCGGCCACTTTCCTTCTCTACGGGCGCTGCCAGAGAATAAAAAGACTGTCCAGAGCGTCGATTCCTGCCAATTCAGAATAAAAAGACAGTATTTGAGTGTGAGAGAGAGAGAGAGAGAGAGAGAGAGAGAGAGTGACCCCAGCATCCCACAGACAAAATTCATTAGCTAAGCCTTGGAAGGCATTTATCACAGGTTACGGTCTCCAGGATTATTGCAGGATCATTCCCGGGCCATGAAGTAAGAGAGCGGCTCTGCTGATCTCCTCTGCTCGCCGCATAGATACGTTTCATCACACAGGGCTGTCTCACCAACATTAAAAACACACCCTGCAGATTTACTGCAGCAGTGAGCAGAAGCATTATGACCGACTCCTCCTCACTTCAACCTGAAGACTGAACAATAATCCTAATCTAAGATCTAAGAGCAAAGTCAACAATATTCAGGTCTGCACCCAGAGCACTACACATGAATCTGAAGGCCTTTATACAACCAAGCCTTTCCCAGCATCACCTGCCTCTGAGGAGAGGAGGGAAACAACCAGCTTCTCTCTCACACACCATATAACAAACATGCCACCTGTTCTAATCACATATATTTGATGTGAAAGAGAAATATTGGATTTAAGAAAATGTAATTTGCCTGAAATGGGTTTCATATTTAGTCCCTCAGCCTCCGCGCTGCCTGTAGGTTCCTCCGGATGATCCATCCAGAGGCGATCTCACTCAGACACAATGACCCCCAAATAAAACATAAGGCTCCATTTGGCCAGGAGAAACTACATGACTTCTCAGCCACAACAAACCAAAGACATTTGCCTTCAGGTATTCTTTTGTTTTGTTTTTACAGTCATTGACAGCAGAAGAAAAAACGTGATGAAACAACTAAGAAAGACAGGAACTGGGATATTTTCATCATCCTACTGCAAAAGACTAGCACAGATGAAACGTACAACTTTTACACAGAAATGACCCAGGGGCTCCTCTGTGCTGCCGCCATCTATCATATAGAGGGAAGCGCTTTGTAGCAAAGCAATAATCACGCTGAGTTTAGCAGCTCTCTCCGTCTTGTTGTGGCCTCCTCTTTCAATTGTTATTTGATGTTATTTTTAGAGAAATTATGCATTTCCCTTTTCAATAGGCAGGTGCCTTTTATTACTCCTGCAAAAGACGATTTCTCTCTCAGCTAAGACTTATAAATCTGATTTCATATCATATGGAAGTTGTTCCCTCGCGATGACAAGATAGGTGCAGCATCATGCAGACATGTATGCATTTTTCCATCTGTGTGTGGCCTATATCTTATTGTCTTTGATGTGAGGAACAGCTCATACAAGCCTTTGAACATTCATGTGGTACCAAGCTCAAAGTTATGATAATACAAACCGAAGAGACGGTAAGTGTATATCTTTCTGCAGCTCATATAATTAGATCAGTGCTGCAGCATTGTGTCCTACTAGTTAAGTAACGTTATGCCCATAAATGGAGCGGTAATTTGCCTCCATGACGCTCTTCTCTGCAAAGAAGGAAATGTCATCCCCAAAGATGAAGCAGGCAACAGAGACCATCTGGTCGCCTGAGTCATATATGCCGCCTGGTCCGGGAACAAACACTCCCTTAGTTAAAAGAACAATGCACCATCACTGTCACACTGCCCATGCTACAGTAAAATACAACTAGAGGCAAAAGCATGCAGTATCACACAAGTTTCATAGGTTTTGCACCTTTACTACGACTAAACTTAGATGTGAGAGAACACGTCTCAGTTTCCTTCATCCATAATGTCCTGCTTTTCGCCTGAGAGGAGTGGACAGTGCTGATCTGTGTTTTCCAGGTCCACCTGACTCCTCGCAAAATGCCTACACAGACAGACAGAGCGAGGAAACGGCATGTCCCAGGAGGAAATCAATACCGCTTCATGTATTTTTACCGCTCTGTCTGAATATGATGTTCTACACAACTTTGTCAAGGTTTAACAAAACGGTCGCCTTCATCAGAGCTAAAGCGATTTAACCACTCCTGTGATGTGAACTAGTTTCAGCAGAAAAGAAACAGACGGGGTTGAGTGGGCGAGTTCTGGCTTCCACCGGGTCCCAGATTATGCAGGCCCCATCTGAGCTGGCAATAACACATTCCTTGTCAGTGCCTTTAATCTTAATGCAGTTGGCAGAGGCCTTATGCTTTCTCATGGATTCTGGGAGCTTGTGAGTCCTGGGCAGGATCTCCCACACAAGAGCAAACACACACACACACACACATACACACACACGCGTGCACCTGGACGGAGAATAGACAGCCATCGGCTTAACAGCACACACAAGGTAACTGAAACAGAGACTGTGGAGCCCAGGCTACAGAGCTATTTCTATTCATGGCCTATTTTATCCACGACCAGTCCTATTTTCACTGTATCTGAACTGTTATCAAGAAACTAGACATACACACACACACACACACACACACACACACCAACACACGAAGCAAGAAAACCAAACCAGCTCAGATTTAGCACTGAAGCAGAACTGCATCTTATTCCTGCCACATGGGCCTGTTGTCAAATCATGAATATTACAGTTTATTTTTGCTAAAACTCCCCTGCTGGGTTTCTCTCTCCTCCCCTCCCTCATTATTCTCCTGCTATCTCAGGTTGTGGCAACAGCTGTCAATCATAAGCTGTGGGTTGAGTGAACGGGAAGCATCCTCTGTCCCTGCACTAGGAGTAAACTCATGAATCTCCCATCATTCCTGGCAGCGCACACACACACACACACACACACACACACACACACACACACACACACACACACAAACACACACACACAGGAGCTGGCTGTTTTTATGTGCATATGAATCGATGGAGGGAATGTTTCGTTGCAATTATTAACATGAAAGAGAAATAACCCGAGCCAGCATCTGCACGCTGAATGAAGATGTGAGGGATGAATTGTTGAGAGGCCGTCAGATTTTGAGAGTCATATCTTCATAAGACTGAAAGCTGATAATAAATGATGCATCCTTCTGTTAAAAAAAATGTATCTGGATGTAAAGGATCCGTCAGTAGTTCCACTGCAGAACAAAAGACAAAAACTCAAATATTTTACTGTAATGCTTTTAAAAGGTCAAGAAAATGTTCATTTCTACTTTAAAGAATAAAAACAGGCACTGTACAAAAATCAGAGAGCAGTCAATACTTCAGTACGCAGGCTGCAACTTCAAATCACTTGTGTTCTGGCTCCCTCTACTGGTGAGTTTTGACTGTAACGTGAAACTATTTCCATCTCAAGAAGAACAGCAGAGTGAATATTTGAAAGATGATGGTGATACTGACGATCAGTCACACTCACACTCACACTGTTAGAGCACACGAGTCTCTGCTACGGACGACGTCACCCACAGTGGCTGAGATGAGATGAGCTCGTCTCTGAGGTCTGTGCAGCTGAAGGGGAAGATTTCTGCTGACTCAGTATCTCAACCCACAACCATCTGGTGCACCAACACCTGCAACCTCAAAATGCAAACTACCACATTCTACTGATTTCAAAAGGACAGCAATGCTATA